GCCAATAACCTGTCTCTCCACAACATGGAAGCTCATGTCAGGCATCATTGCGGCTAAGATAAGTGGACACATGGATCAATACATGAGCGAAGCACAGAAGGGCATTGTTAGAGATACCAGGGGAGCCAAACAGCTCCTGGTTGACAGAACAGTCGCACAAGACTGCAGGTCCCGACAAACCAACCTGTGCACAGCCTGGATTGATTACAAGAAAGCTGATGACTCAATGCCACACACATGGATCACTGAATGCTTGGAGTTGTATAAGGTGAACAGGACTCTTAAGAGCCTTCGTTGCGAACTTGATGAGGATGTGGAAAACCACACATGAAGCCAATGGCAAGCCACTTACCCAAGTGTCCATCAAATGTGGAATATACCAAGGTGATGCACTCTCCCCACTGCTGTTCTGCATAGGACTGATCCCCCTAAGCCAAGTAATCGCCAAGACTGGCTGTGGATACCGACTCAGAAATGGAGCTACGATTAGTCACCTTCTCTACATGAATGACATTAAGCTGTATGCTAAGAGTGAAAGGGACATAGACTCCCTGATCCACACAACCAGAATCTACAGCAGTGACATCAGGATGTCATTCGGGCTTGAGAAATGTCGTCGGATCGTCACTTAGAGAGGCAAGGTAGTCCACACTGAAGGGGTCTTACTCCCTGAGACGAGACGCTGTCCACACTGTAAAAGGAAGGTGATTAAGAATAGTGTTACCTGCGAAGCCTGTCAACTCCATTTTCATGCTAGCTGCGCCTGAAGAGAAGGTAATAAACCAGATGAGCAACAATCATGAAAATGTCGAAACTGCCAAAGAAAGTTAAACAAGGAAGAAAGAACAAACAAAAATTAACGGCCAACCCCAAATAGAGAATGAATGACAACAAATTGTAAAAAATGTAAAGAAAAGATCAGACAAGGTGCTAACCGATTGATATGCGCAAGTTGCAACGGGCACAGTCATATTAAATATGTCACCAACACAAGACTACAAGCTGAACGGTGTAAAGCCGATAGAGACTGGAAATGTCAAGAATGTAGAATGGCTGGAGAGCAGCGATACACCAATTGATCCAACGTATTCGATGAAAGCGAATGCTGCATATCAACTCCAATGTCAAATAAACATCATGCAATAGAATGCGAACGGATTAATGTGAGAGGTGAAGCTCTTCAGATATTTTAGAAGAAAGGAATATTGATATAGCCTGCATCCAAGAAACAAAGCTTTTGCCAACCGATTCCATATCCAGCTTCCGGAACTACGTCGCAGTTCGCCAAGACAGGGAAATTCCCGGAGAAGCAAGAGGTGGAGGTCTTGTAATCTTTATCAAGAGACAACTACCCTATGCACTAGCCCCAAAGACAATCAATCTACGCGGGTTAGAAGAGTAACGTATCAAAATTCCACTACCAGATCTGGGGAACTTCACCATCACAAATTTATGTCTCCCCCCAGCTATATCGCCTTCTCTCCAACGCATCCAATATAATGAAGATGCATTTCCAGTCACAATTGAATGGAATAGTATTATCTGTGCCGATCTTAATGCCCACAACCCGCTGTGGGATAACGTGATGACTGCGGATGTTCGAGGTCAATCACTAGCAGATCAAATCCTCGACGAGAATGGGATCTTTGCGAACGATGGCACTCCAACACGGCAAGACCCAGCTACTGGTGTCCTCTCTTCCCCCGATATCACCATTGTTCATGAGACCCAGACAGAGTTCTTCTCATGGGAGGCTGTCAACCTACTCTCATCAGACCACAAGCTAATATTCATCACAATTAGGTTTCCCGCAGCGATAAATAAATGAAAAAAGAGATTAGTTTGGGACTGGAAGTCCGGACATGTACCAGCATTCACAGTGGAAACAGATGAGCTGTTCAGGGACTGGCATAAAGAGAGACCACAGAAAGTCAGCAAGGAAGTAGAAAAGTTTAATAACCTTGTGTTGAAGGCAGCACGACTCAAGATTGGATTAAAGGCAATAGGTTTGACAAATGAATGTTGGAAGACCAGAGAAATTACCCAAGCTGAGAAAGAAAGAGATCGGCTACGAGAGCAAGGTGGTTTCCACAGCAAAAGGTTTAAAGAACAAGATGAGAAAGTGAAAACTTGGTTAAGGAAAGAAAGCTGGAAATTTGGCAACTAAAGATTATCTCAGTGAAGGGCAAGACACAAATGTGGAGAGTGCTTCAAAGCTTAACAAACCCAGCAAGGAAAGATCAGGCAAGAATCATTATGGATGGTGAAAAACAATTCATCAGTAATGTAGACAAAGCCAATGAGTTCGTTAAATATTACCACATAGTAAGCTCCCTAAAATTAACCAAAGACGACTGAGGAATGAAAGGGCTTACCAACGGCAAATTGTGAAAACAAGTTGATGAAGTGTCTATAAAGATGGAATTTACTCCAGAAGAGGTGAAAGCAGCAATACAAAAACTCAACCCATCAAAAGTGGCTGCACCTGACCACACCCATCCATATCGGCGAAAATGCGCTGAAGGCCTTAATTGGCTTTCAACTGGCATCTTCAAAAAATCATGGTCCACACTCCAAGTCCCGCAAGAATGGCATATTGCTAACATCCGGCCAATGCTAAAGCTAGGGAAAATCCTAATCAGTTATCTAGCCACAGGCCCATATCACTAACTTCTGTGATCGGTGAAGTGATGGAAAGGCTGGTGTGCAATAGACTGTGGTATATAACAGAAGAAAGACATCTCTTGACCGAAAACCAAACAGGGTTCAGGCCTCCAAGAAGTACAGAAGACCAGCTTTTAAGATTATCCCAGTCTATCAATAATGGCTTTCAACACAAACCGATGAAGAGAACGGTAATGGCGCTTATTGACTTTTCAAGGGCATACGATGGTGTCTGGCGAGATGCTTTGGTGTATAAGATGATGGAGAAAGGAGTGCTGACACACATCATAAGATGGATACAATCATGGTTGTCGAACAGATTCGGGTTACCTATGAGGGAGAGAAAAGTCGACGGCTCGTCTTCAAACAAGGTGGCCCACAAGATTTGGTGCTCTCTCTGCTGCTCTTCCTGTTTTATATTGATGACTTGGCCAAGGATATCAACAATACCGAGATCTCTCTATTTGCTGGTGATGTAGCACTATAGACACAGCACTCATGCATGTAAATAGCAAAAAAGGAACTACAAACAGGACTTACAAGACTGACGGAGTGGAGTGCTATGTAGAAGATGCAACTTTCGGCACCCAAGTCCGAAGGCTCCTTTTTCTCGACTAACACACAAGAGGCCAATTGGAGACCATCTCTAACACTAGCAAGTAGTCCTTTGAAGTAAAACCCCAACCCGAAATTCCTAGGGGTTACATACGACCGGCAACTAACCTTCAGTGCCCATGTGAACAAGATCAGTCAAAAGATTAAGCAGCAGGCAGCAGCGTTACGCCGATTGGCCAACGTAGACTGGGGTTACGATAAGGAGACCTTATGATCTACCTTTATCACAGCTGCAAGATCGATCATTGAGTATGCTGCGCCGGCATGGAGCCCATGGATTTCTGCATCAGGGATGGAGGGACTGGAAGCGAGCCAGAGATATGCTGGAAGAGCGATTGCTGGACAGGTACGCACAACCCCCAAAGTGGCTATCTTAGCCGAAGCAGACCTTCCTACCATTGCAACCAGAGCCGAAAAACCAAGTATGATTGCTTTAGAGAAGTCATACAGGCTGAGTGAATCCAATCCTCGCCAGATGCTAGCAGAAAGAGATACCATACAGCGAACGAAAAACAAGGGTGGAGAATTAAAGCTGAAGCGAGATGGTCAGCAATCTTTGGGGAGAATAAGCCACAACATCTGCCAGGTCTCCTACCACCATGGATGATGATAGGCAACCCGGTTTTCGAATTAGAGGGAGTGAAGACCGGAGATAACGAAAAAAGGAAAATTGCTCTTGACAGATTAGCCAAGAACTGGACTACATATGACAGAGTGATGTACACGGACAGATCCACATCAGTAGCAAACATCAACGGAGGAGCAGGGATTGTGATAACAGAGGGACACCCAGCTAACCCAAATGTCCTAGCAACACATAATGTACCAGGAGGCCCCTGGTGTTCCTCATACCAGGCAGAACTGAAAGCGATCGTGCGGGCCCTGAATCTCCTCCAGGATGATTGTGGGGGAAAGAAGATAAGGGTTGTTGCAGACAGTAAGGCAGTGCTACAACGGATCCAGAGTTTGAATCCCTCCACCCTACTTCAAGACGGTGATGAAAAAGATATTGTTGAACTACAACATCTTTTTCATCAAAGAAAGAGTTCCCTAACCTTTACATGGTGTCCAAGCCACTGCGGGGTGATTGGTAATGAGATGGCTGATGAACAGGCTAAAGAAAGGTCGGAGAGAAACCAAAAAGGAACAACCTGGCAGTACGCGGCAGCGAAAGCGGCAATCAAACGTCATATTAAAGACCCCCCCCCAATGCGCCACGAAAGATTGAAAGAAATCTACGGCGAGCACGGCGAATGGTTGAATCAACAACAAGAACGACTCATGTCACGGCACAAGCAGTTTACGATGAGCAGACTACGGAGTGGTCACCATCCCGACCTGCGGAAATGGCAACACAAAATTGGTCGAGACTCCATCTGCCGAATATGTCGACTGGGGGAAGAGACAGCAGAACATGTATTGCTGGACTGTCCCGCCATTCATCCAACAACACGAGCAAACCTGACGATGCCGGAGCAAATGGCGAGAGACCCAAACTTGCTTAAAAGGCTTGGGAGGGATGGCACAATAAACTGGAGAGAGAGCTGCAACAAAGTAATTAACCTCAACAAACCCAGACTGAAGATTGCTCAACAAACAAACAAACAAAAAGCAGCAACCACAGCAATAGTAGCAACAGCAGCCAAAGCAGCAGCAGCAACAGCAGCCCAACTCGGGAACGACCTCCAAGCGGTGTTGGGCATGCCTTCGGGCTACGAACAGTTCCCAGTCAACGGGCGACAAATGGGTCTGCAGGGACCTGGGTCGCTGCGGCTTTAGGAGCGGCTTTGGGACCCAGTTGCAGGTCGCTCAACAACAACAGCAGCAACAGCCAAAAAAAAAAAAAAAAAAAAAATTGGACTCAGCACTCAGAAACAAACTATAATAACATTTCTAGTGTGAACTGTTGCATAGGATCACTCCGAACCTGTGACAGAACGAGCCACGGAAATTGGGAAGGTGGAAATTGGCCGTAATATTTAGTTTCAGTCATTTCGTTATTTCTCATTTTCTAACATAATCTTGGTATGCACACACACACGTACACATGGTTATATTAGTTTAAATACGGTTATTTCAAGAAAGAAAACCAAAGTGCTCCCCTTCTTAAATAAACGCATGAAAAACTTATATTCAACTAAGATGGGAAAATTATTGGAGTATTTTACTCTAAAAATTCAACCAAGTTAACTTCCACCCACCCATCCATTATCCGAACCTACCATCCTCACGAGGGTCGCGGGCTTGCTGGACCCTATCCCAGCTGTCTTTGACCAGCAAGTGGGGTAAATTCTGAAATGGTTGCCAGCCAATTACAGGGCACACCTAGACAAACAACAATTCACACTCAAAAATCACACTTAGCAACAATTTAGAGTATTGCATTAACCTACCATGTATGTTATTGGAATGTGGAAGGAAACCAGAGAAAACCCACGCAGGCACTGGGACAAACTCCACACAGGAAGGCTGGAGTCTGGATTCAAACCCCGGAGCTCTGGACTGTGTGATCGACACGCGAACCAATGTGCCGCCCCCAAGTGAACTTTTAGTTATCAATTAAGTTAACAGTGTGGCCCACAGACATTTTATGTTTCAGTTTTGAGCCCTGTTGGGTACATTACAAAAAGATCGCTCCCCACAATACCCTTTTTTTCTGACAGCGTAATGAATACCTGTTTTGAAAATGTATCAAGTAAAAATTACTGATGCTAAAATGAAACAAATAGTCTGATAAATATTCAGCAAAGTAAAAAGTACTGGAAAATATCAGTACAGTAATGAGGTGTTTGTAAGGAACAGTTTTGACACAGATCACTTGTTGCGGTTGCAATCGCTCCGATATGATTTTGAGCTCAGAAAGTTTTTTTTTTCTTCAAAGTGTCTTTGTGATCATATAGCCTGCTGTGTGATTAGACTCATCAAATGTCTATCATGTTGATTATGTGTATATTAAGCTACATTTCATCAGTTGTCAATGGTAATGCTTTTACTGTTAGCTGTAAGCCCAACTAGCTCATTGCAAATGCACTCAGGGTAAGTTGTAACAAACTTAGCTTTTGGTAGGTAGCAATGCTAATGAAATTAGCTAATTTTGACTGAATGGTTTTACTCTAGTTTGAGTTTTATTGGAAAAAACTATTGGCCATACAATCCATCCACAGTTGAGGAAGATGGGTTTGCACCTTCACTAGGAACTGATCCTCCAAGTTCAGCTCAACCTACCAACGCAGCTTGTGCTTCAAGCCTCTGCCCCAGCGACTGACCAAGTCTCAAACTTGGGTCTTAAATTGGACAGTGATTTTAAACTTGACTGGCAAATTGGTGCCGTTGTTAAATCCATCTTCTTTCATCTTAGACATCTGGCCAAATAAAACCTCTCCTCTCTCAAGAACACTTTGAGACAGTAATTCGTGCCTTCGTCACATCCCGGCTGGATTACTGCAATGCCCTTTACTTTGGAGTCAGCCAATCCTCCATTAAGCGCCTCCAGCTGGTCCCGAATGCTGCTGCTCGCCTCTTGACTGGTACTCGTAAGAGGGAGCACATAACTCCTATCGAGCCTTTTCCGTTGCTGGTCCCTCTCTCTGGAATGACCTCCCACTGAACATTCGGCAAGGCTTCTTGCTGCCCATCTTTAAAACCCGCCGCAAAACTCACTTGTATTCTTTGGCATTTGACTCAGCATGACCCAAATTATGATCCTAGTTATACTGTTTGGTTCTCTCTACCGTCTTTGTTACTGATTTTTTGCTTTACTGTTGTGTATGTTAGTTGCTCCATGTACAGCACTTTGTGCAGCAATGGCTGATGCTCAATAAATACAGTCGAGTTGAGTTGCTATAACTCTGCTCCAGCTATGAAACAAGCCATTCAAAAAGCCACATTCTGACTTGGCTGAACTTTAGCCCAACAGTTGTTTGGACCTTACCAAAAGCCATACAACAGAAACTCCCTTGAACAAAAATGAAGCGTAAACTAACAGCAATAACTGACACGGTTCAAAATGAACTGAATAATGTTTTAGGATCCCAGAAACGTGGACACCAAACAAAACTCTGTAACTGTCACGTTGCGTGGCGGTGGTGGACCCCAAAAAGCAGGCAGGAGGGAGGAGCAGGGTGAACTTGACGAGTTGTATTGATAAAAACACAGAAAACTAAATCCTAAACAAACAAAGTCCTGAAAACAAAATGAATCCAAAGTATCAAACAACACCCAGGCTGTAGCTAAAAACTAACAGTCACCAAAACATGATCAGACAAACATGACAGCTCCGACAAACAAACAATGACCCGACCATGTGTGGTTGGGCGGGAGTCCTTTTATACAACTAATTACATAACGACCAAGAGGTGTGCAGCTGCAGGGAGAGCCCTACAGTGCCACCTGTTGGGCACAAACCAAAACATGACAATAACACAAAGGTTTATTTACAAGAACAAAAAGTGCACCGACAAAGTATGAACAGAAATCACTGGTGGAAAGAACCAGGAAAAACAATAATTAACGAAAAGCGCTAGCAAAAGGCAAGGAGATAGTCTAACAGAGAAAACCAACAAAATGTCCAGAATACAATTGCACGAACCAAACAAAACAAATGACTCAACCAGATATTACTTGCAAAAAACATGTCCAAATGGAACGAGAGCAACTTTGCTTGTAAATGTAATGTATTATTTTTATTATTATTATTATTATTTGAGGTGAACAAGAGGTCTAGAAAACATCACTTGGGCCAAGGTCAACAATAATCCAACAAACTGCAGGCATTTTGTCAGTCCTTAAATACATGGTTCAATGATGAGAACATTGGCAGCAGGTGTGCACACTGAAGGATTGCGCTCGTCTGCTACCTGCTGGGGATACAAGAACATGATCATGACACACACCTGTCAAGATATCGCTGGAAGTAAAGCAGAACATGTGTTCTGAGAGGGTGAAATGGAAAATAAGCTCACCCCCCCAAAAAAGTTTGTTGTCGCATTTGGCACCTTTTGTACAATTTTATTCTGATAAATATGCATGTTAATGTATTATAAGTACTATACTCGACATAATCAAAGCATTTCTGTTTATGTTTATTTCACACAAGCATTTTCCATGCCATTTATTTGTCGACATTTGAATGTAGTTTGCATGACAGTTTGAACCTAGGTCGGGGGTCGGCAACACGCAGCTCGGAGCCGCATGCGGCTCTTTAGCGCCGCTTAGTGGCCCTGGATCTTTTTAAAATGTTTGAAAATGGAAAAAGATGGGGGAGTGAAAATATATATTTTTTTGAATATGGTTTCTGTCAGAGGACAAACATTCTTAACATTGTCCAATGCTGTAAAAATATGTTGAATAAATACTACATTTCAACATTTCTGTCAACGAAGATTTGCATCATAGCCAGCGACACGTTTCGATTAGCAGAGTGGGATGCCAGCCTGCCAGGCAGGTGGGTGTTGTAAGAAGAAACGACATTTCATGTCCAATTCACCGAGGGAACTGGCAAATGTCATGATGACGAAGGACATGTATTAAAAATTCTGGGGTTTTTTTTGTGGATTTTGGATGGAAGAAAGGTGCACCTTTCTTTCCATCCAAAACTGTTGTACTTAATGCACTTTGTAGAATGCTAATTATTTCAGATGAGGTGATTGCAACCACCTGGGAAGGGCCAATTGTTGCTTGGACCTGATTGGCCTGAAGCTCAAGTGAACTCCCTTTAAAAGATGAATGAGGAAGTCTCTGCAGGCCGCACAACTTGGAGAGCAGTGCTACACGTGGGCTGCTCAAAACTGGTCAACTGTCACTCCTGAAAATAAAGAAAACTGGAAAATCTCCTTCCTGAATCCTGGCTGAATCGCATTTTTATTCTTTTTTCACCTGGCCTGCTGTTTTGCCGCATAACCGAATGGCAATCTGAAGGACCGAGAGAAGCATTTTAAAACGGTACACGTCAGCTACGAAAGTTAACACGCTGCAAAAGTGCATCCCGTGCCTCGTCCATCTTAGCGGCCGTTATGGCTGTTGCTCATTACTGCATGCGTGTGTAAGTGTGTGTATGCGCACGTGTGTGGTAGCACGTCGATCGCGGGAGGCTGGTCGATCAAAAATAGAGCTTTGGTCAAAAAAGGTTGGGCCCCCTTGCTCTACAGGATGCACTGCAGGTGAAAAAAAAACATTTAATTGGGAAGGCACATTGTGTATTTGTAGCCAACTTAGTCATTTTGATAGTAGGCTCATACAACTAATATAGAGACATACAGCATGTGTTGCCTTTTTTATTTTGTTGCGGCTCCAGACACATTTGTTTTTTGTTGTTTTGGTCCAATATGGCTCTTTCAACAGTTTGGGTTGCCGACCCCTGCCCTAGGTCGAAAAAGCTACTGTCCCCCATCCCCTCTACTTCCCATTTCTTTGCCCAACATAAGCTGGGACCCTGCAGCGCAAACACAAACCTGATGACTACAAGTGGCAGAGAAAAGTCTGATGTAATATGTACACCTAGCTAAATATTAGCTACTGCCGAGTGTTGGGTCTCTCCCTTTCTCACTCCCTCTCTTGCGCTCTGGTTTTCTTTTGCTCTTGACAACAATGCTGATGATGTAAGTAACAATCATTAACATTTGAAACAGTAATCCGAATCATTCTCTACTCCTCATTCCCATTTTGCCCACCTGCGTTGGTACCCCAGTCCAGTACATTGTTCGAGTGTACTCTGGCATGTATATACTAAAAAAATTATGCCATTGTCCTCCCCAATGAGATAATGTGCTGTGTGGATGTTAACACAACCCTGCCAAATTTGAATGATGAATAAAAGACCTAGTATAGAAAATTAGGCTTTAAATTGCTAAAAATCATGTCATTCGCTCTATTCTCAAGGGCGGTTGAATACTGCAGCTTATTTCAATATCCAAGTATCCAACTGAAAATTCTCCAGAATAATCGTATTTAGCAGAATGCACGAAAACCATGCCCCCGCTCAATGCACATAGAGCACATTTGACAATAAAGTTGACTTGAACTCGAACTTGAACTTGAAATGTCAACTGTCAATCAAACACGAATTACCTTTCGTAGTGCTACATGTCCCAACACATCCGGCTATGTTTTCATCAGTGCTCCTCCATCTCGTTTTGCATGTTCTCCATGATGATGGATGGACTGGAGTGCAGCAAATTACATGGAACAATACAATAAATCAAGAGCTGAATCTATGATTTTCATATTTACATGTTAAGTCACCCACTGTAATTATCTTTTCCAATTACTAGTTACGAGTAGCTTATTTAACCTTTATCAGAGTCCCCTTAGAACAGTTTCTCATTTGCAACGCTGATCTGCCTGCAGACAACAGAGTAAAATATAAAAAGTTTGTATTGTGACCTTTTTCACTTTTTCTTTGTTTTGCAGTTATTCCTGTACTCTATATTGGCAGAAGACACCATAAAGACAAAGAGGCTGTCATGACATCACAAGAAGATATACGTGATAATGTCATTCATTATGATGATGAGGGTGGTGGGGAGGAAGATACTCATGCCTTTGACATCGGCACCCTCTGTAAGACACGATCAGAACACGTACAAACGAACAGTATAATCGCCAAGAAGGACAAAAACAATTATGGTCACGGGGTTCTGTTGCATCTAAGCACTCGCAATGATAAAGTCAAGTCACCAGACATCCATCAACAAACCGCCAGCATTATCTCCCCTGTTAACAGCCAGTCGGTTGTTCCCTGTTGCAGAGTGACTCAGGGTAAATGTGAAATAATCCGAGATTTCATTGAAGAGCGCGTGGGGGAGAGTCGGAAGTCGGCTGTATCAGCCTATGACTCGTTTGTCACATCTGCCTCTGAAGATCTTTGTTCTGTGGCAGGCTCCCTTTGTTCTATAGCAGAGTCATGGGTAATTGATGATTTAGGAGATTTGAGCTCCCTTGGGGATTGGGGACTGTCCTACAAATCATTAGCTAGTATCTATGGGAGACAGGCCCCTACTGTGTCTGAAGAGAGCTAATATGGATAGTAGATAGAAGATATGCGGTCTTGGTGGGACACAGCCAATGGACTTAATTTGTTTTTTTACAGGCATTCCAATGAAAGGACAAAACTAGAGTGAGGTAGAATTGGTATTAGCATTACAAGACTATCTTGAGTCAAAGTTCTTTCAATGACACACAAGATACAGCTTATCATACATTTCCTTTGTGGACACTTGATATCACAAAACTACACTAATTTTCTTCGGCAGCAAACAACTATTTTTGCGCCATGGACCGGTTTCACTTCAAGAGATATTTTAACTCATTTGATGCCAGCAGTTTTTCTCAAATTGGGAGAGCCGTGCCAGCTGTTTTTGACCATTTTGACAAATTTTTGAAGGCCTACAGAAAATTGAGTTCTGTAGCTATATATGCACGGAACCTACCATAGAATGTTTTAGCCATCTTATTTCATCAAGAAAAAAGATTTCATCAGGAAAACACATTTCTAACTTGTACTATTCTTTAACATCAGTTGAACATTGGTAGGTTTCTTGAACATACTCGTTTCCAAGAACAATTCTAAGAAAAAGAGCTTTTTATGAAACGACGTATTTCAAGCAGAACTTTCACTTGGATGCTACTTGTTTTTGGCATTTGTGATACCTCAAATATCTAAATAATGCTTTCCTACTAAATAACATAACACAAAAGAGGCACATTGATTGCAAAATAACAGTTTATTGCAATAAAAAACACTGCCCTGAAGCATGAACTATGTATACACTTTGCACGAACTTTTCATGAACGTTGAACTACATCCATGTTCTCACCACCAAACTGCTTTCTCACCTCCCCACTTGAGATCGTGTACTGTAGCACACACACACACACACACACACACACACACACACACACACACACACACACACACACACTCACAACCCAGCACTCA